TTTTGAAGATCTTGACTTTGATGCTGAGGATGAATCTGTATTGAAAGCTGCTGCTATGGCAAACGCTCAAAATGCCATCCAAGAAGCTCAGAATAAGGCTAGAGCGTTCAATAAACAAGATGACGCACCTGCTATGGATAATGATGGGGAGATGAACTTTCAAAATCCTGCCGGTATGGGAGATGTTGATATCGAACAACCCAAGATGCTTCAAGCTCAGCTCAAGGAATATCAACTCAAGGGTCTCAATTGGCTTGTCAATCTTTACGAACAAGGTATCAATGGTATCTTGGCAGATGAGATGGGTCTTGGTAAGACTGTTCAATCTATTTCGGTCATGGCTTATTTGGCGGAGAAACATGGTATCTGGGGTCCATTTTTGGTTGTTGCTCCTGCGTCAACACTTCACAATTGGCAACAAGAAATCACCAAATTCGTTCCAAAGCTAAAGGTATTGCCTTACTGGGGTACAGCAGCTGATCGAAAGGTTCTTCGAAAATTCTGGGATCGCAAACACATCACTTATACCGAGGAAGCTCCTTTCCATGTTCTCATTACATCCTATCAACTTGTCGTCTCAGATGTCGCTTATTTCCAAAAGATGAAGTGGCAATATATGATCTTGGATGAGGCTCAAGCCATTAAGAGTTCACAAAGTTCTAGATGGAAGAGTTTACTTGGTTTCCATTGCAGAAATCGTCTTTTGTTAACCGGTACCCCAATCCAAAATAACATGCAAGAACTTTGGGCGCTATTGCATTTCATCATGCCTAGTTTGTTCGATTCTCATGACGAATTCAGTGAATGGTTTTCCAAGGATATTGAAAGTCATGCTCAAAGTAACACCAAGCTTAACGAGGATCAACTCAAACGTTTGCACATGATTTTGAAGCCTTTTATGCTTCGTCGTGTTAAGAAGCATGTGCAAAAGGAATTGGGTGATAAGATTGAAGAAGATATCTTCTGTGATCTTACTTATCGTCAAAGAGCATACTACAGCAACCTTCGAAATCAAATCAGCATCATGGATCTCATCGAGAAAGCAACAATTGGAGATGATAATGATACTGGGACTTTGATGAATTTGGTGATGCAATTCCGAAAGGTTTGTAATCATCCAGATCTTTTCGAACGTGCCGAAACTACTTCGCCTCTATCTTTCAGTTACTTTGCCGAAGCCGGTTCATTCTTGAGAGAAGGCCCTAATGTTACCGTGGCTTACTCGGCACGTAATTTGATTCAGTACTCATTACCTCGATTGATATGGCGTGAAGGTGGACGACTTGATTTGCCTGGACAAGATAATGAAGGTGCCGGTGTCAAGGCCAAATGTTTGGAATCACTTTTCAACGTTTGGAAGCCTGAGAACATTGTTGACAGTTCCAAAGAGGATGGTGCATTCTCATGGCTTCGTTTTGCAAATACCTCGGTTCAAGAGGCATCTACAGCTTCAAGTAAAGATGTTTTTGCTCGTGCTGTGGATATTGTAAAGAAGCCACAAACTCTTGGTAGGCTTAGCATTATCTATGATGAAGAGGAAGACAAGAACTATACGCCAGCTCATGCTATGCTTCAAATTGTCGAGAGAAAAGATCGCAAGCCTCTTGCTGAAGTCACAAATGAAGGATATCTCAACAAACTCTTCAATGTGGCCAAGAATGTTTGGGATGAGTCTGGTATAAGCCGAATGGAACAATGTGGTCGACCAAGTGCAACCGCTCCTCCTATTGAAGTCGATTGTTCTAGTCGGGGTGCCGTTCTCGAGAGACAGAAGATTTTGTTCAATGTTTCCATGAGACGTGCCTTATTTGGTCCTTCGCCGGTTGAAGAAAAGGCGTTTATTACCTCCAAGGTTTCACCATCGTTCTATCCACCAAAGCCAATGTTACCAGTACCTACCTCGGAAAAACAACGCTTCACCAACATCAAAGTCCCATCAATGCGTCGCTTTGTTACTGATTCTGGTAAACTTGCTAAGCTTGATGCTTTGCTCACCAAACTCAAGGAAGGTGGTCATCGTGTTCTTTTATATTTCCAAATGACACGTATGATTGATCTCATGGAAGAGTATTTGACATATCGCAATTATAAATACCTTCGTCTTGATGGTTCCACCAAGCTTGAGGATCGAAGAGATACTGTTCATGATTTCCAGACTCGACCAGAAATTTTCATCTTTTTGTTAAGTACAAGAGCTGGTGGTTTGGGTATCAATCTTACAAGTGCTGATACAGTCATCTTTTATGATTCTGATTGGAATCCTACAATTGATAGTCAAGCTATGGATCGTGCTCATCGTTTGGGTCAAACGAGACAAGTTACTGTTTATCGTATGATTACTCGTGGTACTATTGAAGAACGAATCCGTAAGAGAGCGCTTCAAAAAGAAGAGGTTCAAAAGGTTGTTATGACTGGTGGTGCAGGTGGTGGCGTAGACTTCAATGCCAGGAGTAAAGAGAACAGAACCAAGGATATCGCCATGTGGTTGGTGGATGATGAAGAAGCTGCGGAAATCGAAAGAAAGGCGGCCGAACAGGCGAGATATGAAGCTGAAAATCCTAACCTGAATAAAAAGGCTAAGAGTAAAGGAAAGAAGGCTAAGGAGGGTGCTGGCAGTTTGGAGGATCTTTATCATGAGGGTGAGTTTTAATTCCATCTTTAGATTTGCATACCGTGGTTTAGTTTCGTTCTCTAAAAGAAGAATGAGATGAGTACCATGAGATGATTATGAGAACTTTTACTAACTATGTTAAATAGGCGAAGGACATTTTGATGATGGATCTAATAAACCTAGTGGTACTGCAACGCCTATTGCAGGTGATTCTAGTGCGAAGAAGGGATCAAGTAGTAGAAAGACTGCTAGTGGTGGAAGAAGTAAAAAGGCAAAGACAGCTAAAGAGAGGTTGGCTATGGCAGATGGAGATGTGGATATGGCATAGAAGTATGAGGATATAAGGGGATATGGTAATCATGAAGGGATAATGGATGGGAATGGGTGGGTCGATATGGACTGTACGATTGCTTGGTAATATTATGATGGGGATTTGCAAATGGAAAATCATCATTGGAGAATGAATGGGCAAAAAAGCGGAGAGGAAAAGTAAAGAGATTTTTAAGAAAACTTGAGACTATTAAGAGTTCAATCGCAGATTTAAAGGGGAAGCATGGATGCATGGATGGGTATGAACTTGGCATGAGCTTGGCTTGCTTGAGCTATCTACCTATGGGCTGAGATGGGAAAATGTCATTTGTATTATACTTATATTATTTGATTTGAGTGACTGATTTGACTTGACTTGACTTATTGCTTTAGTGGCGAAGACTTATTATGATTTAGGATGAGAGTTTCCTTGAGTGTATAAAAATTTGTGTGATGGGCTCGAGGGACGTGATTTTGTGAGTGGGGTTTGGGGGTGCAGTCTGCAGTGTGCATTGTGCTGAGGTGGTTGCTGGAGGGTTACTGGAGGGGGGAAGGGGGAGTTGGAGTTAGAGTCAGATTTTGAAAAGAAGAGAATCAAGATGCGATTAGGGAAATAGGAATGCGAGGGATGCGAGGATTTGATTTCTCATCTATCTACTTATTTTGTTGTTTTGGATTGCATTGTATTGTGGCTTTAGCGTGGTGATGGAGGTTCTATTTCCGTGGGGGGAAAGTGTATGGGTGAGAGGTATGGGTGCGGGTGGAGTTTTGAAGTTTGAAGCGGAGGGAGGGAGGAAGCTGTTTGTTTATTTGTTTTGGATGGTGGGGAGCAGCGGAGAACGTAGAAAGGGGTGCGTGTGAGGGAGCCTGTGGGGGGGGGGGGGGGGGGGTTCCCCTTCATTTTCTTGCTTTGTACTTCTATTTATGCTGTTTGGTGATTCGATATAATACCAATACTCCTCGTACACGATGGCTGCAGGGATCAATCAAAGGAAATGGAATTTCATAAAGGAAATGGATGGGTGGATGGATGGATGGATGGGTTTTTGGAGAGGGATGCTCAGAGCTTGCGTGATGGATGAATGGTGAAGTGCATTTTCGAGTATTGTGTATGTGATGGAGAGAGTAGCGCTCCCAGTTGGGCCATGTTGTTGTGGGTGAAAGGTCTTGCGATCTGATGTTGTTGTTCCGTGTGTGAAGTGTATGAAAGGACAGTTTTCAGAGCATGAACGCCGTTTGGAAAGTTGTCGATTGGGTTACTATCTGATCTGGATCTTACAAGAAGTACTAGGTAGCTACTTGGTACATATGTGAATGGATAAACACCTCCCCTCACCTGTTTCATTATGTCACATTGACTCGTGCTTTGCTAATGCTTGTGAAGAAATATGATATGTTCGAGTCAGTTCGTTGAGGGATCTTCCCCCCATTGGTCTAATGCGGCTAGCTTTGCTGGTGTCACTAGTTAGCTTTCCCCAGCCCCCTCAGCCCTTTTCTCCTTGTAGATCCTTCTTGCTATGTACTCCCAGTATCCACTTTGGTGTTTTTGTTACCCCAGAATTCTAGATTATGTCACTTGGTGTTTTATTCCTTTTTTCATAAGAATCAGATCCCATCGTAGATCCGTTATGCCTATCACTCATAAAAAATGTTTCCGTGGGTAAACATCGAGGCTTTAGTTTTCGTATCGCTATATATGGGATGGGTATTGTGATGAAAATTTAGGTGAGAAGTACTTCCTGGCGATGGGTGATCTTGCCACGTCATGGATGACTATTACTACTGCGATACTGCTCCGCATTGAAACTCTACTTTGCAGAGCAAAACACAGCTCTGTATGTTTTCTCAAAACGGAATCTAGAACATACATGAGAAAGGATATGGATATTCAAGACAAGATCCCGCTTTATACCTTGAGATTTCTTGGCCATTTTCTTGTACATATTCATCTCTCTTTCTCCTCTCCATCTGTTTGAACTTTTTGAATTCAAGTCAATTGTACTACATATCAAAGTGATCTTTGTTATTACTCCTCTTTTAACACCTTCAATTTTGACTCGATTTGAGAGATAAGTTCATAATGTCTTCTACAAATGTTACCAGCGATGATGTTGCACCTAAATTCTACGATAGCATTAGTGATAGATATGATAAATTTTATTCGCAGGATCAAGGATTGTTAGCATTCATTGAACAAAGTCTCGAACTTTTACCCCCCAATGCATCGGTAAGATATGAGATTTCCATCATATCCAGATTATCCTCCGTGCCTAATTCTCAGATTCGGAGGACATATGAAGAGATATATACTCTTGTTTCCTCTCTCGAAGAAGTCAAATGAGTAGACTTCTCCCGCTTCACAAACTAACATGCACAACCAGGTCCTAGACGTCGGCTCTGGAACCGGCATTCCCACCTCCCTCGCCGTTGTAAATTCCGGTCGTAAACTCCACGGTATCGATATCGCTCCCAGCATGATCCAACTTTCCCGCAAAAATGTTCCGGGGGGGACCTTTGAGCTGGTGAGTATGTTGGATTATGAACCCAAAGATGGACACAAATTCGACGCCGCGTTTGTTGTTCTCTCCATGTTTCACATGAAGCGAGACGAAATGATCGAAGCGATTGGGAAATGGAAAGATTGGGTGAAGGGGATGGAGAAGGATATCTTTTCATCTGCACGTATGTCGCGGAGGATGCGGCGGGGATTAAGGAGGAGATGTTTTCGGAAGATGGGGTAATTGTTTTCTTGGTGTCTCTTTTCACTTTGTTTCCGTCTTTGATTCCGGATAGATGGCCATCGATGCTAATTATGCACAACAATAGCTATACGCGGATAATGTACCCAGTACGTTCATGGGAGAGTATCATGAAAACTTCCTGTACACGCAACTTGGATGGGAGGATGTGTTGGCAGAAAATGGACTCAAGATTGAGAAGGAGGGGAAAGTGGCTTTTGAACCGGCTGAAGAGGCGGAGTGTGATAATGAAATCCATTTTTATATTACCGCGAGGAAGGTGTAGAGAGGTGGTGGGGATTGGGAGAATGGGAACTGAGTTTGGAGGTGTGAGGTTTCTTGGGGAGAAGTGAATTATGGAGCAGGAGGGATGGTGGATGAGATTGTCAGTTGGGAGATCAATGTAGTGCAGATCGAGTTACTTTAGTTTCACATCCTGGGTCCAAAATTCAAACAAGTTGCTACTTTTTTCACATGATCACGGCACCAGGTCGCCAGGATACTCAACACAGTCTTCTTCATCAAGTTGAGGGAATTATCATTCGTCAATTCAACCAAGACCCGATCTAGAGATAGAGAGAACTCCTCTCCAGCATATCATTTCCGCGACCCAGAACCAACAAGCTAAAATTCTTCTTTCCGCGAACCCCAGCACTCATTCGCGCCATAACCATGCGGCCATTATTTTTCTTAAAATAATATGGGTATCCATCTCTTACAATTTCCTCGGGATACGAGGAGGAACTCAAATCGAGTTTCATTGATGCGACCGACTCGGCAGGGATTATGTACATTCTTTGCTAGACTTTCCACCGATTTAGTTTGCGGAGTCTTGATTGTGAGTTTAGAAGACCGAAGCCAGTTGATTTTGTCGGTTGGAGTCCCGACTCCACATCTGGATGTAGTTTTAAGAGGGTGGGCGCCCACACCTTCCTGTGTATTTGAGAGGAGCGCCCACCCCTTATAGGAGAGCTTGGTCATGTGATTAGAGTCTGCTATTATTTTTGATTAGTGATTGTGCATAAATTTACATTCAAGGAAACTCATTGACGTGGTGGGAAAGAAAGAAGCAAGACACGGTGATTACTTACGAAGAATGACGAGTAGCCATCTCTTACAATCTCCTCTGTCCCAGAGAGAAACTCAAATCGAGTTTCATTGATGTGACCGACGCGGTAGACGTTGCTTGTAAACAAGAATGATTGGAACGCCATGCGCATGGTGAGATATTTCAGGGAACCACTTGCTCTATTTTTGTCAGCAAAAGCTCAATGGATATTTGACAGATCTGCCAGTTCTTTACACATACCTTGGCTATCGAAGCTTCTTCGCACCAGACAGATAGATGGTCTTGTACGGATCAGCAGGCCCTGGAAAGCCGCCATTTTTGGTTGTTGATGGCTTTCACAGGGTACCCGCTAGTACCGTACTCGGGACCATTATCGTCTTGGTCAAACTTTGCGCATTTTTTTGTGTATGATTTCTTGTCGACGCAGCCTATTCCAAATGAGTAAGTAAACTTCTTAACAAGATAAAAAGTAATTCTTGATGCGACTTACTCCGAAAAATCCGTCTTTGTGCGCTGAGCCTGGAGAGGCAAATGACTTTAGTATCGATCTATTCATTTCCAACAAACAAATCAGCACCGAAAACGTTTGAAAGAGTCTTGATGGATTTATTGAAAACAATTGCCATCAATTCATCAATCGAAGAATAACAATTACTCAAGTACCTTTCATGAGATTTTCGCTTCGAAGTAAAGCCGTTATTTCTCCGAAATAGGAGAGAGTAGTTGAAGAAAGTTTGGAAAATATGCTTGTGGATTACAAAAAGGATAAAGAAAATTCTTTGGCACTAGTCTAAAGTTTTATCACGCCACTAATGAGATTAGGGCGTTGCCTAGTAGGAGGAAATGAATCACCTCTAATCAAAAAATGTGGCTTGAGCGGGTTAACTGTGGGAAAAGAAGACGGGCGGATTTGACGTGGGTCTTGGATCTCGGCATACGTAGATTTTACTTTTGCTTCTATTCTTCTTCCTCTTCCAAACTATCTCATTCTTGCAAACTATTCGAGAGATCCTTGTCCTGCAAGCATCTTGTATTAAATGTCGATGTTGTCTACTGTGAGTATCACCTCATTCTCGTTGTGGGGGCACCTTTAACTGACACACCTTCAAAAGGCCCCCAATTTCTGAACCTACCGAAAACTCAAACGTGAGCAGAAGATAAAGTTCTCCGATCTTGCAGCTTTCCATTGGAATTTGCATTATCGAGTCTCTGTTAGAGCTTTTGGATCAAGTAAATCACTCTGTTTCTTCAATATAATACCTTTGGTGATTGTTCACCGCGGTAACTTGGTAATGTTGCGCTCATCTTTGTTTAGAGCCTCAGCTACTTGCCGCGATTCCAAGTTCACGTTCAAGAACATTCCAATTCAATACCATCGCCTTAGATTGCAGCACGCAAACAGTCACCTGCCACTTCCTCGTTTCCAAAATCTCCCCATCGAAGTGGAAATGCTAGCGGCATCAGTGAATCAATCTTTACGTCTCCTGTGTCGCACATCCGCGGTTTCTTGCGTGACGGAAGATTCATCAAGGGCACCTGCTACTGTTTACGTCGATGAGGCATAGCTAGCTCCCGTTTTTCTATTCGCAAATGTTCATAATGAGAGGTCGATGAGTGAATAAGCCACTGCGATTCATTGACCAGTACCCCTTCGATCTCTCTTCAGTCATTTGGCGACAAGGTATTTATTCACAAACACCACTTTCAAGCATTTACAAACTTTTGAACTAACAGGATCGACAGGATCAACGGCTTCATCGAGATTTCAAGCTGTTTTCCCAACCCTCTTCACATCAACAAGGAGGAGGTCGCAAGTTCTTCTGCTGCCTCTTCCTTTCCGAGATGAAAAGTCATATGACAAATCTGCCCGATCAAAGCCTTGTCAGCCCTCTGATTACCAAAATTGATTTTCTCGAACTTCAGCAAGATGCCTTACAGTGCATGAGCACAGCCATGACACATGAAGAGGACATCTTTCCCACTGTCGCTCCGCCGCCCATCACCCCACTTCGAGTATCCCCTCCTTGGCCTCCTTGCCATCAGAAGTAAGGCATCTGCAGAACTAACGAAAATTCGAGTTTACAAAACCATGCGAGTTCGTGAGAGTCTTCCAACAATCTGCGGAAAAGCACCCTCTGCCTACCCTACTGCCAATTCCACACCAAATCCTCTCGTTGTGACGCAGGCAGTTGAGAACTCCCCCACTCTCTGCAAGGTCTGCGTTATTCCTATACACCTCAAGACCTCCATCTTGGGGCGGCAATCCCGCCACGATATCCAAGCCCCTGGAGATTCGGCTCATCCTGGTCGATTGAAACCTTGCCAAATATTACCGTTGACCAGGATGAGCCCATATCGCCAAAGGAATAGGACCTCCCGCGTTAGATCGCGCTACGAAACAGCGACTCGTTCTTGAGTTTAACAATCTCCCGAGATTACAGATCGAACAAATAATCAGCACATGAAAGCGGGCGTCGAATAATTAATAAGCATCTGCTGGGAAGCTGGTGCGTGTTTACTAACCATTCATAATCTGCTTTTATATGCTGAGTGGAGCTTGAATATTGGGCGAGATGTCTTGATGAAGCTATTCTTCGTTTTTGATATTCAATGCTCACCATGGCTTTGCCCAAGTAAGTTCATGCTATCCCCTCGCACCCTGCCTTTCGATGAAACCTATTTGGAGACACAGCAGATTCTCTATCGAAACTTCGATTGCATGGTCTCGATGACGGCCTTCAAAGAAAGCGCGTGCTCGAAAGAGGTCGAGAAGAGTGGGAGGAGAAGCTCAGTTTGCAAGAGAAGTCAAGTGGGAACGTGTAGGCACTATGTTGCGTAGGCGGTGGTGATCAAATTTACTCCAAGAAGGACGATGGTATCAATTTCAACAGTTCGGGGTTGGTGATGGTTGTTCATAGTGTTGCAGACACTATCATTGTTTTTATCTGTGGATAACATCATTCCAAAAATAGGAATTAAAGTTTTCCTTCCAACAATAGTGGTATCTGTAAATGTTAAACTGGTGTGAAGGCTGTCTTGACAAAGAAGCTAGGTATGTCCCGATAAAGCTTCTGCGCACCATATGCAAGTTGTTATGCAATGTGAAAAAATTGATATTATGGTATGAGACGGATTCCATTTTCTGCAATCCTCTTATGTGCTCCATATCTCGCATCCCCAATTGGTCACTTTTTGAACCATCGACAGGTACTCACCAGAAAGACCACTTCATTGCGTAAAATGATTGTGGTAAGCTTGCTACCGCTGTCCAATTCAACGGGCTCGACAATGAAAGGCACAAGATTATCGACCGCGTCAGCTTTGGCGCAGGACACTGCAAGAAAATGACTTTGACAAACTCATACGCAAATGAACTACAAGTTTTAATCAACATCATAATATGAACCGCTAGCTATATAAATTATGTGCACTAAGTGAGGTGAGTCATGAATATATCAATTGCTCTCGGTGAAATAAAGTACAGAGCAAATTAGAAAGATTAAAAATAATACTCCCATTTTCCAACCAGACCATCCCATCCAGCTCTTGGTGATTTTTCGTGGCCTCATGAACCATAGCGCCTGTGTATGTGTAGGTATGAAACCATCCCAAAGTCCCAATATGTTACATATCTACAAAAGAACCGAACCACCCATTTTATTTACCAAGCATCCTCATCATCCCAAGTAATTTCCTCATCTTCCTGCTTGCTATCTTCTACTGCAGAAACCTCGTGACTTCTACTAGTACTTCCACTAGAATTCCTTGAATGGACACTTCCGCGTTCAGATGATGTAGCATTAGCATTAACAGGCGGCGCGTTGATCAACCAACCAATTCCACCAGCCAAAGTACCTACGGCAGCATTACGAAGTTGGTCTCTCTTCCGTAATGATGTTCGTCCACTTGAAGATCTAGTAAGATCTGCAGCCGGTCCGGGAACTTCTGCTTGCATGGGAACATTATGGCTCTCACCCATCGTTTCCGCACGTTGTGACTTTCCTCTGAACATTGATAGTGCTGATAACCCTGTTTGAGCACGAGTGATACTTTCTTTTGAAAGATCGAAAAATGACACAGGTGCCTCTTCATTCTTGTTTCTTCGAGGGGTTCTGGCGTTGGAATATTTTCGAGCCGGTGTAGCAGCATAACCGCCTGGCATGTTCTTATCATCGGCTTTCTCGTCCCAAGCTTCTTCTTGTTCTGCCTCTTCCTTGATCATTGTTTCAAGCTCTTCCTCACATCTACGATATGCATTTAGAACCTCTTGCAAAGTATCCCGTGGCGCCAATCGTAGAGCTTGAGCCAAGCAATCCATTCTCTGTTGGAGATGCCTAATCTCTGGGTTTCCACTAGTATTACCGAGATGAGTAGCTCGTGTAGTTTGGGAGTTTTTACGATATTTGCCAGCTTGTAAAGCTGCACGCCATGACCAATCATCAATTGGTCTAGGTGGGCGTTGACCAATACATCCCGTATTTCTGCGCTCAAGTTCTGGCATGCGTGTATGTGCTTGACGACCAACAGCCTTAAGACGAGTGACAACGTAAGAATAAGCTGTTTCAAAATCGTCTTCCGCAAGAGCCATATCAATACACATACTGATAACACGTTTTTCGGCAATCTTTAATTTCAAATCAGGAGTGGTTGGATATCCGTCTGGGATTGGTATGGTTAAACCGGCCTTGGCCATTTCTCTAGCCATACGTACAAAATCGTTGATTTGTGTATAGCTTTTGTCGTTCTGTTCAAGTATCTTGTTCAAGATTGACAAAGGATCAGGATTGACTCGTAGGCTGACTGGTTTGAATGGCTGTCCTTGTTTCAACACCAAACTGTAACGGCCTATTTCATCTGTTACTTGAATAAGATTGCGTAATTCTTGAGCTCGAGGATGGCCATTTATTGTATCTGGAAATGCATTGAGACTTACACGCGAGTTAGCAAATTCTGTATGAAATCGTAGGTGCGTGGAGAATCTTCTTCTTTCGTCCCATGAATGGTGATTGAAGGGAGAACAAAAACTGACATGTGGTCCCAATATATAAAGGAAAAGAAAGACTTACATTTCATCACATTTTTTAACTCCACCTCTTGACTTGTTAGGATTTGTGGCATTATCGTAGGCATTCTCGGCTGCAGTAAAGATGGCGTGTTGCAAATACTCTTCTGGGATAGGCTTTTCTGCTGGAGTTTCATAGATAGATCGAGCAAGAGTATATCCTAAATGAGAAAATTGTCAACAATCGAAGGGGCAGGGTAGAAGTAGATACGGTACATACGGGCATTTACGAGAAGTAATTTGAAGGCTTCGACCTCAATTGATTCTTTGTGGATTCGACCAAAAACACCCCTTCCCTGACTCGGATCGATGGTGTCCTCAAACTCTTCAGCTCCCCAATCTCGTAACCATAACAGCTCATTCCTCATTTTGATCCAGAAGCGATCATCAGAGCCAGAACGATGACCAAACGAGGAGATGAATCCCCTAAATGCCATCATTTGCTCACGCTCATCTTGGAGTAAAGCGAGCTCTCCAGCTCTCTTAACAGTACACCCCTCTCCTCCTCTTGTGAGGAGATATGCACTAACCAGTAATGCTTTAAGTAAATTAATGGATGATTCATTTGGATTCGTCAAAGTATTTTTCTCTTCTAAATGATTGTTTCGAAGATGTTTTGCATTCTTTCGGTACAAATAACTTTCCTCAAAGGTGGGTATAGGAGTCAGTATAGCAGCTGCTGCTTCCAATGTAGGCATCTTATCCATATCAAGTAATGTAAGAATTCTGGAAAGAATTCGATGAACACCTTCCAATGCTTCGATGGAGCTTTCAGGGATGAGGTAAGCTGTCGCAAGAGCAGCTTTTGCATATCGTTGTTCTAAATGGCGTTGATCCTCTTCATCTAACCATTCCGTTCCATCCTCAAATCCCCCCAAGTCTACGTCTCCTGGCCCATCCCATTGTTCAACTGCCTTGACGGCTGTTGTCCAAGATATACCTGCTTCAGCAGTGACCCATGCAAATACCAATTCCCAACCAGCGTACTTATGGTTTATAATGCCTGCCTTTTCTAACGATACTGCTGCTTGTGACTGCTCTGTAGAATCATCCTGAACTTTCCTTCGCTTCCATCTATTGTCTCCATAAAGCCACGGGCCAGTCAGTCCACGCAAATCTCGCCCCACGGATTGATTTTCCTCGCCCGATGTGTTTGAATCTTTTCCTGTCTTTGAGAGCAAGTACTTTGTTCCTTTAACATCGTCTAAAGCTTCAAACTCGCGTATGGTGAGTATTGGTTGAGTACCTGAGTGATATTCGTAATTGAGACGAAGGAGGGGTAGAATGGTGGAAATTGTCCAGGTTCGTAGATATGATGAATATGATAAGAAAGGAGCCAACAATGTTGGAACTTCACTGAGTAAGCCGGTATTTTCGTCAATTCGTAATGCACGTTGTATCAAAAACATAACGAGGTGGTCGTCGAGAATATCCGAAGGCGCATCTTTCCATCGTAGAGGAAGGAGATGTAATTTCTTGACCCTTTTATGGATTTCTGCGGGGTTAATGCCTTTGATTGAGTCCAAAATAATGGTATCTTCCGAGTCATCTATGATTTTACCTGATAAAATATCCTCTATAAATGGCACATATTTGGAAGACTCCAAACTTTCTGGTAGATGGGTAAGAAGTATGCGGAAGACAAGGTCATTTCGTAGAATGTTTCGATATCGCGACACAAGAGTTCGTAGAAGTCGTAAATCTGATTTTGTTGCAAAGTCTATCGCAAGCCATAGAACCATAGCAGGTTCCAAATCTGGGTTTGCCATTGCTACCCTTTGGTCGAGCATTCCCAAATGTGAGGAACTGGATTTTCGATGTGTTAAATAAACCAAGCTGTCGGACAGCAGCAGCTAGAACGTTCCCACTATGTGGCTTTCAAGCCTAATATAAGAGGCACACGTGCATACTACCCCTGTATGGTTAGCGTTAATTCAATGCTGTAATTGAACATCACATTTACAACCTCAACCCCTCCAAATTTCACAATCTAACACAAAAGATGGCATCTGGTTACGGTCTTAGTGGGGGTACGTCTTAAATCATTCTTAGGGACAGATGGCAGATGTTCCGTGTTTGGAATGAACTCAATGGCTAACAAATTGCTTTCAAGGTCCTTCCCGATGCTTTCCATTCTGGCAAGAAGTCTTAGCTTGTTACGTCGTCAACACCTCTACAGAGAGTGATGCAGGAAAGAGGGTGTGCGCGCCGGTCTTAGAGGATTACTATGAGTGCCTACATCACAAGAAGGAGGTCGGTACTTATCCATCACGGAACTGGCGGTGTTCGACAGCAAGCCCTAGAATTATTTACTGACCGAGCATTTTCTATGATTAGCATGCGAGAACAATGGC